CAATATCTATGATAAGACACTGACAGTGAGTTTTTCAATCCTAATACCACGGTCCGATTTTGTCAGAATCAGAATTAATCTGGTACCGCAGCTGAATGTAAACAAACAGGTCAGTCTGGTTCCCTCTCCTGCTTTACCTCGTATGTGTAGAGAACTACGGTAACACTGATTATCAAAAATCCTTACGCTAATGAACTATGTTCTTTGACTTATGAAGTTTTCAAAGTTATCACTACTAATGTTTATTTTATATAGATAAAACTTCGTTTTATTTTTGTTGCTTTAATTAGCTTTTGTATTATCTCAAAAGCGGTTGCGAGTAAGAACTATATTTTTGCACGTAACTTTGAAATGGCGACTATGGGGTTAACATCCTGCCTTGAACAGGATCACATAAGCCGGCAACTGCTCTTTGAGCAATAAGCCCGGCTAAAAATTGCCTATGAAATTTTCTAGACTAGCGGTGAAATTGTTATCCCCAGCTATCGCGGCTTCCCAAGCCAATTTAACGTTTTCAACAGTGGATGACAATTTCATACATTTCATAAAAAGTATATCCTAATAATACTAGTCATAGATACATGTGTAAAACAAATATCATTAATTTACCTCTTTTATTTCGATACAAGCCTGTTCCTCCAAAGTTCTATCGTCACAACATTAACTTTCGGTTTGAAAAGTTTTGTTTTGTATTTAGAGTTGTCCCGCTTTAATCTACAGTTTAGTTTAAAGAAGTTGTATTTTCTAATTCAAATACCTTTCCTGTGAAACTAGGAAGAACAGGTCCACGTAAGAATCGGGCAAAATCAAAGAATGGGTGCACTACGTCATGTGGAACCTGTTCGGCTATACCCATTTTAAGCTTTACTTTACAATTCATCACTAAATTTTAAAATGTTTGATAACTGTACAAGCATATGCTTTTGATTTTTTTGCCTTGAATTTTTTTTTCAGATACTCTGGGTATATTCCTATAATTACAGACATTATCATTTTTTTCTGAAGTATTTGTAATTTTTGCTCTTAATTTATTTCAGGAAAAGGGGTGTTTATAACTACAAATTACCTCATACAACCTTAATAAATGAATGAAGAGGTTTATGACTTTTATTTTCTTTTTTTATTCATTAGAAACTGTGGAAAAATAGCGTAAATTTTACAAATTTATGGGACGCGTTTTGTGTCTACCTTGTTCCTACAAAAGGAAAAATGAATCCAGTTTATTAGTTCGTGTAAATATTACGGGGATGAGACAAATCCATGAATTCAAGAAAATTAAAGCACCAAAAAATCTTTTAAAAAATTCCGGATTATATACTCTATTCGGGGATGTGTTATACATTTGTAAGTGTGTAAGCGAGTGTATTCCTCTTAATAGGAAGGTCATATTATAATTATTATAGCTTTGTACTTAGTATTTACATGCACTGAATATTTTCTTATTTATTTCTTAAGAAAACCCATTGCGTTTATCAGTGCATGAACTACACTGTACAGATTTCTTGATCAGTGGCTGTTCCATCAGTGAAATATACAAAGACGTTTGCATATATACAATAATAAATCTTTTTAATCCCACGTATTTAAATGATTATTTAAACAGATATAAATATAAACAATAAAACGTCTTTCTTTGATAGTTAGTACGGGAATGGATTCGCAGCTATTGCAGAAAAAAAATTACAACATGCTAGAAGTTTTTCTATAACTAGTAATTACAAAAAAGATTTCTCTGTAAAAAGAGAGAATGATAAAATATTTTAGAGATGTAACTAAAAAAATAAAGATTCCTAGGCCTTATGAATCATGAAAAAACTTACGTGAAATGTACATTTACATGCGCGGGTCTGGAGGGGGTGGGAGTTTGGGGGTTAGGGATCTGCCCCGCTTCGCCTTGGTCACTAATGGGTAACGAGGGATAACATTTTTACATATTTCCCTTAATATAATTATTTTATTAATTCTCGTAATAAATAAAACAAGCTTTATTAACTACAATGTACCCGTTTCCATAATAGCCTGTTGCAATGTACGATCATTACAAACTTAAACTCACGTATTCAAAACATTTTTAGAGCATTATATAGTATTAATTTGCGAAATTGGCTATGCATCTAGAAAATATGATATATGAAATAATATTTATAATATTTTGTAATACTCGTAATACAGAGACCATCGTTATTAATAAAACAGAGACTAATACCATTCTATTTCCATAAGAGTTTTTATCGTCGCAAAATTAAATGTTCTAGTTTGTAGTTGGAATTGTTTCGCTTCCTACATACTTCAAATAGTTTACTTTTCATCTTTTGTTTTATTAGTCTGTATAAAAAATATTTCTCTGTACAAAAAAGAGAAAGATTGGATTTTGAAAGATGTAACTGACAAACAATCTAATAGATACCAGTAAACATGAATCACATAAAAACACTTATCTGAAGTTTACATGCATTTCCTTTCCTATAAGTAAAATTTGCTTTGATAGATTCACCACAAACGTTCTGATTTTTTTAAAAAATCCGAATTACAAAAGATTTAACGTGTAAAAAGATATTTAAAACTACATTTTGATATATTCGATCAGTAAATGAACATGTATGCCATCTTTTTTAATATATACTCTTCACAATGGTACGAAAAAATAGTCACACTCATGATCAGCAGATACATAATTATTTCACCATTTATATTAACTTCATGATTATTGTTTATTATTAATTTTCACACAATTTCTTCTGAAAAAAAGTGTCAATCAATAAATATGTGTCTTGACTGTGCCTCGAAAAGGAGGAGAGATACCAGCTTATCATATTTTCAAGACTCAAATGTTATGTTTAGAAAAAAGTGAAGATTAGTCGGCAAACCTCCTTTCTGGGGGTGTCACCTGCGTTGTGCAGTAGTTAGGGCGTTAGTCCGAAATATCTGTTTTCCAGGCTTTTTTTTACGATTTTGATATCTTACGTGCGAGGAAAATGTAAAATATCAAAATCGTTAAAAAGCCAGCGAAACCTAAGATATTTCTGACTATTATAGAGCGTCTGCTCTAAAATAAAATGTATAGGTCTTACGCAAGGAAATGAAATAGCCGATCAAAATGACCTTTCAATTGTAGTTCTATATATATAGATAGACAGACAATTTTTTCTCTATTTTCATTGTCGGAAACTTTTTTAAGGTTTACAAGAAACTACCAGGAACATCATATGATTAGCAGAACTGTGCCATTGAATTAAAGCGAACTCTTTTTTTTAGATGTACATGATGCAACTTTCTGGATGGTGAGTAGACTGTTCGAAAACGTATGAAATTCACACATGTGTTTGGTGGGGTAGGTATGTTTACTCTCAGTTTTCTTTCAGAAAGCCGCATAGACGTCTTTTTTCTTATCTAAAGTTTTTGTCTCACTCTCAGCATTTATTTTATTTTCTCTTACTATAGTAACAATTACATGTAATAAAAATATTTCCTTGAGTGAGACCTTAAGTCGCCGATTCAAATCCACTGCAGTATATGGAATCCCTGGATGACGCCGTATAAACCGATGTCCTGTGTCGCAGTAGATGTTACCAAGAAAAAGATCCATTGATCAATGGCCCTGAGTGCCGAGTATAGATACAAATTTTTAGCTCTCCACCGGCAAGCGATGGCGTCTCCATATGAATGAAAAATTCTAGATAAGGACGTTAAACAACACAAAGAAATAATACATGTATTTAAGGAATATGCTTAGATATCGAACAGTATTTTAAACCTCAAAAGTCCATTCAAAGAATACAGATCAGGAGCAGGGCAAACACTCTAAAACATGGAGGTGCATGGGATCAGGTGCCATGGAAGAGCGATACCCTGTCAACCAGTCACATCCGCCGTGTGCTCCTTGTCATGATCGGGATATAGCGGGAAAAATCTGTCAACATTGCAGTGTGTAAAAAATAATGGCCTAACAATTGGTATGAAAAGCGTCAGTCAGCATTTGACTTCATAATGTAACAGATGAATTTGCTGACAAGATCATTGTATCGACCATAATGACCATTGTGATTTGGTGAAGTCTTCTATTTTATTCGAATAGACGTTATCGTCTTTTGAGATAGGTAATACATGTATCGCCATTTCGAATTATGTATGAAAAGACTGCTCCCAAAATTATACATGATCTGCATGTGCATTTACCCTTTTTAGAAAGCAAACATCTAAGTCTTTAAATGCAAAAAATAGTAATGACAGGGGGGAAGTATAAATAAATACTAGTATAGGGAATAAAATGAATTAAAAAAGAACAAGAGAAAAGGACATCCAAACTTACCTTATGGCTAATTGAAATTAAGTTCTTTTATTAGTAAATTGGATTACTCTATGGATCGTTTTGTGTATTTATAACTTAAAGGGCCTGGGTGGTTGTGGTCATTTTCATACTATTTTGTTTTTTCTTATCAATGCAATACCGAAATACTGACTATTAGACAAGTTGGCTCAAATTCAGATCGAAAAGTTCAGAGAAACATTAATTATCGTTCTTTCAAAATCTTGTCCCAAAATACAAAATCATTTTCATCAATTTTTGATTACGGCTAATGAAATGAATTCGCACTTAAAGGCCCTTAAGATTATATTCTTTATTTTGCATTGTAGTTACATTGTCTTGAGGAAGAGGACTTCAATCCTAATTTATATATATATATATATATATATATATATATATATATATCACCTTTTAAATTAGAATGAGAGCTATCAACTGTATCAAAATAACTATATTTATAAAAATCTTACCCATGCCATGGCTAATGAATGGAAGGATATTATAAAAACAGTTAACGAAAGGGAGATGATTAAATTATTCCCAAGTAAATTTGATTAACTAGATAACAATGAATATTGTCATCACTAGAATAGCAAAACTCAAACAAACAAAAACATGTTTTCTTGTTTTTAATTTTTTTTTCACCAATACCCTTCTTTGTAATTGTTTTTTTATATATAACAATGTACGTCGACTAGACTTTTATTTGTTATCATTTCCTTCTCCATAAAACATCATTTGGCCAAGAGAGTCTGTTGTTAAGAGGCAGAAGCTGCGTAGCTAAGGACGGTCTTGTTGGTTGAAATCCATGACGAGTTAAAAAGTCTATTATCTCCTGTCCGGCCGGGCCAGTTTTTAGCCACATCCACTCCATTAATACCGCTCTCACGTCGACTTTATTAAAAAAGTTTTCACCTCCTCTGAAAACTCTATTCTCGTAACCTTCAACATCCATTTTTATTATCACTTTATTCAGATTAAAATCCGGAAGTTCAAGTATGTCGTCCAGAGTCGCTGTCTGTACGTTTCCGTAGTTACCTGAAACTCGACTTCCTCTCACTTTGTTTGGATTTTTATCTTTTGCTACAAAGGTTCCACCTATATTTCCTCTGTCTGCTCCAAGGGAAACTGTTTCGTGAACATCTGAAAGAGCATTATATATCAACTGAACGTTCTCTGTAAAATTGTTTTGTTTCACAGTAGCACACAGCCTTTGGATATTCATTGCCAGTGCATCAACAGCAACCACTTTTCTACCAAATTTTGCAACGGCCATCGAATAAACTCCAATGTTGGCACCAAGATCTAAAAATTGTAACTTTGGATCCTGTCTAAGAAAGGTCAGAATGAGGTCAATGAAGCCTCCTTCCCAGGAGCCAAATTTAAGAACACTGTTACTAACATGAATGTCGTCTTTGGGGTTATGGATGAAAATCGGAACAGCCCCCGCCGAGGTTCTTAATGTTGCCTGCATGAACTTGGGGTAGTTTTTGCAGGTTCTCTCGTCTCTAGTCCATTGTTTTGCATTTCTAGCATACAGTCGAACAGATATGGGTCCAAATGTTGGTAAAACCTTAATCAATTTAGTTGTTTGTTGATAATTTAACACCGTTTTTCTTGTGACCTGTTTTTCTGAGGTAATGCCGGTAGTATTTCTTCTTTCTTTCAATAGATTTCTGTTTTTGTGCACGTTTAAAATTCCCAACTTTAAATTTTTGTCTGGGATACTTGAATTTCCATTTAATTTCATTGACTCTGTATTACTGTTCCCTTTAAATATTCGAATCCCAGCATTCAATATTGTCTGGCCATGGTGTGAAATATTAATGTTAGTCTCTCTTCCAATGCCATATAGAAACCATCCTAGAGTGAAAGCACCCATCATGAGAAATACTGTCCAAATCTTATTTAGCTCCATGTTGAGTTAAACGTTTAAAATTTTCGGACTTCACAAGCAGAAACATTCCTTAGTCATTTAATTTTCGGTCCCACTTAATCCATTATAGTAATACCCACAAGTAACGATCAACCGTATTATTTACATAAATCATTCAACAAGGAAGGATTTCACACTGATTAGTACTAGTACTTACTTATTCAATAGTATTTAAGTAAAACAAGAACAGTATTTCCCCAAACTTCCTCAAATACATGGATATATACACGCATAAGTCACTTGAACTTTTTTCTTTGTTTCCTAGATTGTCCAGCTCATATCCTCAAGTGTTGAGCGCAAAGGTCATTTTACTTGCTGAGTGTTACAAACATTTAAAATACTTTAAATGCGTATTGTTTGTGAACTCTGGATTTACCACCAGCTTCAAACAACGTTGACTCGTGTGTAAATAAGTGGTAAATATGGATTACTCAATTGTATTGACCAGTCTGCCTTTGTAAACCGAGTTCCAGCACGCCTTTCTGCTCGTGTCAATATCACAGAAATTCGAATCTTAATTTTGTACACAATTCTATCTGACTCTCCGTTGTTGGAATGTTCTTTTGTTAATGCTCTTAATAGCTAATATTGATTTCAGACCTGTTTATTACACATTTAAATATTCACTCCTCGTATCAAATGTATATAGATCCATAATTGATAAACAATAATGCAATTATCTACTGGGGACAGAACTAATTCCTGAGTATATATTCATATTCAGTAGTCTGTCGTGTTTCTCTGATTGTGATGCTTAGAAATGTTGTATATAGTTGAGGGAGAATACTACCAGGTATATCTAATGATGAGTCTGATACATGCGACGAATAAAGTAGTGAAAACCATGATACCCTAGATGTATTTTTCCGTTTCAACAAGAATTCGTCGGTCACAAAATTATGATGAATGCAGCATTTTAAGGATGTACAACACACCTACCCCAAAAAATTCCTGTCGTTTAATTTTCGTTATTTTTGTATATTTAGTACTTGACTATATCTACTGTATGTATGCACATTTTGGACAAAATCGTTCGAGTGGTTTTTGGACAGGAACTTCCAAAAGTTACCCCCCTTTAGTTGTTTACAAGGAGAGAAAATTTTTAATCAATGAACTACTTAAACCTTGATTTTCAAAAAAGCCAGGTTAGATATAAATGTCAAATTTTATTGGCTTATTCCTTTCACCATTTAACACAAAAACATAGTCATCTTTTTGATATACATATCATCAAAACAATTTTTAAAGACCTTAAACTGAAAAACTATGAATTTTCATAGCCTTGAAAATTGCGTATTTTTCAAATTCAAAATTTTTTTGTGAAAAAACCTGTCGTTTAATTTTGGTAAAAAACTTTCTTTAGGTAGCTGGTAGTAAAAATAATCTTCATAATTTTTTGTATAATTTTTGTACGACCAGTTTTGATTTAATAGCGGAAAATTACCCCCTCCCCCTTTCTCAATAAATTTTACTTTGTTATATGAATCTACAAATACACATTAAAAAAATCAAATTGTAATATTGTTTTTGCTTCAAAAATATATTAATATTTTCTATATTCTAAATTTGCCATATCCGACGTCAGATGCAGGATTTTTTTTTATAAAAAGAATGCAAAGATTGCTTTAAGGTCAAGATCTAGTAAATGGAAGGTGCCTACAGATTTTTCAAATTTAAGAAATTAATTCCTTGAATGATGCTTTATAACATTAGCTTGGTCAAAATATATGTTTCGGGGCATAATTTGTAGAAAAACAAAATGAAAAACCATATTTTAAACTGTCATTTTCAATGAAAAATTAAGAAAACCAGTATTGAAAATGGGAGTTGTTTCCATATCAGGCAAAGAAAATGTATCCAGATTGCCTACAGTTTTTCGGAAAATGGTAATATGTATGTTCTTAGTCTCTATTTTAAAATAATGTAAAATTTAAGATAGGTATCGGGACTACTTTTCATGTGATTTCAAATTGAATTCCATGGAAATACTTTATTTTCTACATAATTCTATTAGAGCCGTAAAGTACGGGAAAAAGAAAGTTGAAAGTGATTATGACGTCATAATGGATTTAGCACTGAAAAGTTGTTCTAAAGTCATTTACTAGATCTTGACCTTAAAAATAATTATGCGGTATAAATTGTAAACGTTTTATTAACAATGATGCCACAAACAATGAATTTATCGGCGATATATCAAGACGATCGACGCAGCATGGTTTTTTTTTTTCAATGTCAGACGTGCAGATTTACATCCAAAATAGGAACTTGACTTAGTGATTATTTAAGCCTCGTTATTTCGAGTTCCATAAAAATACATTGGAGAACATTTTATTTTCATGTCGTTTGTACGGTGTGAAATACGACTTTTTGGACATATTTTAAATTACTGTGTAAATTAACTTTTCGGACTTTGTGTAAATTGTTATCAAAACTTTTCAAATAGTTCGGCAATAGTGATAAATTTTATAAATTCCGCAAAGTCTTAATCCACCCGAGGCATAGTTTGAGAAGGACACCTATTCCATCAAATGCCTTTTGTTGATATTTATTGACACTTAATTAATCTTCGATCTGCTTTAATTCTATTATATAAATGCCATTATTACAATGTCACCATTCGCTCAATAACGTTCGCATGATACTTAATTTCTTCATTAACCGTTTTCTTTTTTTTCTTTCTTTATTCAGTATGTATGCTTAGTTGTTAAATATTAAAGTCAATTGGAATCTACGGAAGCCCGTTGGTGCCACGTACGAAAAATATTTTATTTGGCGGCCGCCAGATATTAAGTGGCGGCCGCCACTTATTATTTGGCGGCCGCCACATAATTTATATTCGCCATTTAATATTGGCGGCCGCCACTTATTATTCGGCGGCCGCCACTTATATATTATTAATTCGGCGGCCGCCACTTATATATCTGGCGGTCGCCACTTATTATTTGGCGGCCGCCACTTAATATCTGGCGGCCGCCACATAATTTACTAGTGAAATGTGAGTGTTATTGTGTCTTTATTGGGTTAAGATATGATGGATGTTGACACGGCCGCTGCTTATTGATAAAAAAGTTTATGATAAAAAAGAATTCTTAAATATTGGAACACCATTCTTGGAAATCCAGAATGCACAACTTTATTTAGTTCTCAAATCAAATATTAATCTGCTCTATGCAAAAACATATCTACTAGAAGTGTGGTTTGAAGTGTCGGGTCCTAATAATCTCTTTGGTTGATTTTCACACTGTATCCACCTCTGAAATCACACGTTAAAACATGCGCGCGCATCAGGTAGCCAAATGTTATCTGGCGGACGCCAGATAAAGTATGATAAATATTTGGCAGCCGCCAAATATTATGTAGCGGCCGCCAGATAAATATGTGGCGGCCGCCAGATGTTATATAGCGGCCGCCAGTTAAATATTTTACGGCCGCCAGATATTATGTAGCGACCGCCAGATAAATATATGGCGGCCGCCATATAATTTTTTTGGCGGCCGCCATATATTAAGTGGCGGCCGCCAAATAATAAGTGGCGGCCGCCAGATATATAAGTGGCGGCCGCCAAATAATAAGTGGCGGCCGCCAGATAAAATATTTTTCGTACGTGGCACCAACGGGCTTCCGTAGGGAATCAGACCCTCGGTGCTGATACATCCCAAATTCGTGTAAAAGTATACACCTTGCAACTGAAACTCAAAGTAAAAGTACAAAAAGTGTTACTCGTATCTGTGTCTTGAGGTTTTAAAGAATCTGGGTTCAACAATAAGAGGAAAACTTACGATTGGCCCAGAATATGTAGAGTAGTGGTATTAGACGACAAATTATCCCGTAATACCTGTCTGGTCGCCTTTATATTGATTACCATTACTTGATTTTCTACCAACGCTATAAATCTGATGCAAGCAGGTACAGGTAATATTCAAACTGAAAGGGAGGTATTAGTTTGTCGAATTGATCAATGATATGGACGTAAAAATGCAAACGAATATATAAGATATTTACGGTAATTCACTAAATTATAATTCATTAACTTTCATTTAAAAGAAAAGAATTTTATGTTTTCGTCTCTTCAGGGGGGGGGGGGGGGGGGGGGGGGGGGGGCCGGGGGTTGTCTTTCAGACGCTTTACAGAAGATGAACCTTTTTTATATTGTACCTTTCCCATTTTCTTTAATCTTAAATCTTCAATTTACATAAAAATGCACACTTGTCTACATACTTTGAAATGAATCATCTTAAGTAATTTATTCATCCTGGTTTGCCTTTTGTCTTCTTTCAATCATGTTCGTTGTCTTCTTCAATCATGTTTGTTGTACTAATTACCATTTTTAATTTTAAAACTTATCATCATCAATATGTCAATGGCTTTTTAATAATTACTCGCATTCTATAGATTTCAAGCAGCTGTTTGAATGTCGTTTGATGACCTGCAAAATTCACCTTACTGCAATTTCTGAAAAAATAAACTTTTTATGCAAAATTATGTGATGCAAAACTTTATTACAATGAAATATATGGCGCTAACGAACAGTATTCAAGCTCAAAAGTCTATTAAACAAAACAAAATTTTGAACAGAGCAAACATGGACCTCTTAAACATCAGGGGTGTGATTAGGTGTCATGCATGATTGAGCATCCCCCGCCGACCGTTCACACCCACCGTGTGTTTTTGTAGGAAAATAAGGTGGGGGGACCGTCGACAATTCAGTGTGTAAATAATGGTGTAACAATAAGTATGAAAAAAATCGCATCAAAATTCATAAATGACAATAAGTCAATTTCAGTGGCACATATCTGTTACAGATATCTCATTTATAGCATGCTTCTCATCGTGTATGTACATGCAGATGTTGCATCGACATTTCTCAGCTTTCCCTTGTTCCCGGGAGCTTTATGAGTCAAATTTCGCGTTTTTTTTTAACCGAATGAAAAATTGAATAAAGTACTACTAATCTACATTGTAAGTCATTTAGCTGAGCTAGAGTGTCGAAGGTAGATATATAATGAAGTCGATTTTTAAATACTAGTAAATCTTTTGCATCAAAATAAAATAGACGAAAGAAGGACAAAAACTCGATAGTTAACTCAAACAGAGAAGGGGGATATCTAATTAAAGAAAATAATTTCCCATCCTATTCAATGTAAAAAAAAAAAAAAAACAATATTTATTTATTTATAAATGTAAATCATTCTATAGATTCTGTTTTGATACATGCTATGGAAAAATGAAAGGGGTACAAGGAGAACAAAAAAACCTCCCGATTTGAAACGTGATGCATATTGTCATAGGGCCAGATGTGTATGTAAATAATTAATTAATTAATTTTCAAATCAATAAAGGGTCTTGTTTCCTGATATATTTGCATGAATGATGAACCTTGCGTTTACGAAGGATTAGGAAATTCCTATGAGTATTAAAATGGCATGGTGATTGAACCACTCGGTCAATGCTCATAAAATATAAACTTTCTTGGGTTAAAATTGGTTGAAAAATTTTACAACAATTTTGTTGTATCAT